TATGGATTGAGTTTGTTTTTTATGTATTGCTTTATAGACAATCTCCCTTTGAAAGGCACGATTTGCTCGTCTATGCAAAACATTTGTTTCTATCTGCAGTTTTTTACATCTCTTTAGGACTGATTCAAAAATTGGTCGAACTTTCCATAGTTTGTCGTTGCTTTGTCTGGGTTTCAAATAGACAACACAATGTAAGTGGGTGCGAAGTTTGAAAAAAAAAAATGATTCAATGTCATTGTGTCTGAAAAATATCAATTTTTAAAGATTTGTCCCAATACATTCGCAGTCTTGAATATTTTAGACAGCCTGTTAGAATAATAAAGCCAAAAAACGATTTTATTTCTTGCCGGTTACATGGTTCAAATTTCCCAATTCCAGTTTGCAAAGCATACATATTCGTGTATTGAACGAAATTTTCAAATAAACATTCAGGAAAATATCTCAGAAAATATGTAACTGGATATTTCTCAGAACAGTTTTAATTAGATAGTCGGGTTATTGTATTAGGTAATTTTATTTGCGTGTTATATATTCAACATTCTGTAACCATTTTACATTTTTTTAGAGTGATGACCATCACAGTTACCATCGTTTTTGTCCTGTTCATCATCATCCTTTATTTCTTCCACATTATCCTCTTTCTCTTCCTCATCCTCCCCTTTGTTTTGATTTTTTAAGAAATCATATATCATATGGCCAATTCTCTGTCTGGCTTGTATTTCTTCTTCGCAGTCAGTGTCATCACTAACACATCCGTCTATGTCGGACAGTTTTTCTAGCTCTTCTAGCAGTTTCTTCTCGGTTAAATATTTTATTGGAGGCATCTGACTCTGAAAATAGAAACATTACTTAGTCATTTTGTATACAATTGTGCCTATCGAATTTGAGGTACACTTCTATATTTGAAAAAAGTAAAATTTCAATAAAAATATTCACAATTAGTAAGAAGTAACACTAATTCAACATTGTACTGAAATATAAACCGCGTTTGACTTTTATTCAAATTGATATTTGAAGAAACCTTACCTCTTATGAACAATGCAATTGCCGCTTATTGATTTTGACATTTATTTTCTTTTAGAAGAAAACGATCCACACACCATCTGGGTACAAAACGCAGAAGTATACTACTTATAGAATGTATATTTCTTTAAACTAATTCAAGTTACATATTCCTGTAGAATTATAATGTATGCAATAAGTTCTTCTTCTTCTAGTTCCATGACCGTTATCGATCGTTGGATATCATGTTGGCTACCATATTCGCTATCGTGACTTTATTGACAGCAGCTCTAAATAACGATGTAGTTGATTTTCCATACCATTGCCTTAGATTTTTCAGCCATGATGTTCTTCTTCTACCAGGACCACGATTACCTTGGATCTTTCCCTGAATGATCAGATGTAAAAGATCATATTTTTCAGGGTGTCTCATAATATGACCGAAGTATTCCAGCTTGCAATAAGTTAAGTTGGGCTTATCCCCAACATGACCCAAAGGGTTAAATTTTGTTTAAAGCTTGTCATTCTCTTACACAATTTTATATGAATTGGTAATCTATTAAAAAGTAATTGCAGACAAGTAAACGCTTCTTCTTGTATAATGGTATATAATAATATCTCTCTCTTCAATCCTGACCCCCCAGGGGAGTTTAGTGGTCGACGTGATGTCGTGTATTGTCCGTCTCCAGAGATCTCTGTCTCTGGTCATTTCTTTTAATTCATGCATAGGTCTTTGGCATATTCCTGTAATTTGATCTATCCATCTTGTTGGGGATCTTCCTCGTGATCTTCGGCCTTCTACCTTTCCTTGTATTATGAGTCTTTCCATGTTTTCTGTGTTTGCTCTCATGACATGCCCAAAATATTTTAATTGTTGGAGATGGACTTTACTAGAGAGTCGTTGGCTAACTTTTAGCTCTCTTAAAATTGAATTATTTGTTCTACGGTCGGTCCAAGGAATTTCTAACATTCGTCTCCAACAGAACATTTTAGTGGCGTCTATCTTTTCTCCCTCCGATTGTCGCAGAGTCCAAGATTCACATCCGTAGGTCAGTATTGGAAATATTAAGCAGTTGATCAACCTCATCTTTATCGCTCTTGACATTTGACATTCCTTCCATATTTTCGTCATTTTTGCTGTGGCAACTTTTGCTAGATCACATCTACGTTTAATCTCTTCTTGTAATGACCCTGTGTTTGTGATTAATGATCCCAAATATAAGTATGAGCTCACAACCTCGAACCCATCAATTGTGGTTATGTGTGGATGATTGTTGTGTAGTCTATCCACTATCATGATCTTTGTCTTTGATATGTTTAATTGCAGACCAAATATTTGACTTTCGTTTTCGATCAGTCGTATAAGTTCCACCAGCTCTGCTTAACTATTTTCAAGAACGGCTGTGTCATCTGCGAAACGTAGGTTGTTTAGTTTATGACCATTTATTGAGATGCCCTTATCCCATCCTTCAAGTACTCTTCACATAATATACTCTTCATATATGTTGAATAATTGTGGAGATAGTATACATCCTTGTCTGACACCCCGTTCTGGATGAAACTCGTTCGAAAGTGTGTCAAGTACTTTAACTGATCTGGTAGTGTGTTCATATAGTTCAGTTATAAGCGCAATTAGATGTTGTGGTACGCCTACTTCTTTTAGTATTCGCCATAATTGTCTCCACTTGACCCTGTCGAACGCTTTACGGTAATCTGTAAAACAGATGTATAGTGGGATGTTGAATTCCCTAGATTTCTCGATTATCTGTCTTATATTCAGCAGGTGTTCTCGAGTGCCTCTACCTTTGGTAAATCCAGTTTGCTCTTGTGGAATTTATCTTTGAAGGAATGTTTTTAGTCTATTATTGATTATATGTAGCATTATCTTGCTGGCATGGGATATAAGAGAGATAGTTCTATAATTGGCGCATTTATGAAAGCTGCCTTTTTATGTATGGTCGTTATTGTAGATTTTGTCCAGTCTTCAGGCCATTGTTTATAATAATATATAATAAGCCATAATAATATATACTGATATATTTTATTCTTCTTCTTCCTCACGTGCCATCTCCGCTACGAAGGTTGGCTATCATCATGGCAATTTTGACCCTGGAGGCTGCTGCTCGGAACAATTGTATGGAAGTGCAAGCAAACCACTCCCTGAGGTTTCTCAACCATGACATTCTTCTCCTACCTATGCTGCGCCTACCTTCAATCTTTCCTTGCATAATTAGTTGTAACAGTTGATATTTATTCCCACGTGTAATATGTCCCAGGTATTGTAGTTTCCTCATTTTAACACTCAATACGACCTCCTTTTGTTTGTTCATCCTGTCTAATACAACTTGTTTAGTTATCTTATCCTTCCAGGAGATTTTTAACATTCTTCGGTACGCCCACATCTCAAATGCCTCCAGCTTACCCATACATTGCTTATTTAGTGTCCACGCCTCCACCCCATATAACAGGACCGAGAAAACATAACATTTAAGCATTCGTATTTTCAGCTTTAGGCTTAGGTTTTGGCTACACAACATTTATTTCATATTGTTAAAGGCACTGCGGGCTTTCTCTATCATTATTCTTATTTCTCTGTTGTATTCGTTTGACTCGTTAATATTTGTTTCGAGGTAATAACATGTAAGGTGATATATATCAAATAAAATTTATCCAAAATGATTACAATGTTTTAAAACCTCGGTTCAGTCGGACCATCATTATTGAAACCCTAAAGGATTCCACACACCCCACCGACCCGAAACTTTTGAGACGCGAATTTTCCATTGCGGAACATTCGCAGGCGGAGCGGTAGCAGACTAGGCTTACCCACATTGGCGCGAAACCCGACGCGACTGTTCGCCGTACAAATGTGAACAAATTATATTTTTAGTCGTTTATTCGTAGCTTACAAATACATAATGACTTCGTCTGATCAAAAAGAAGCTCTTCTAGTATTGGCACTTGCCGAAACTGAAAAAAAACAGGTAGCTCCAGAAGCAATAACTTGTTACGAGACACATTCAGTATTGTTAGTATCGACACATATAGGGGAAAGTATTGGTGTTAACTGTGTATTTCTCCGAGAAGAACATCTAGTATTTGAATTGGAAGTGCAAAAGCCAGGTGCTTTTTGTTCTTGTTGAAACTCCAATTTTTTGAAACTCCAATGGAACTTTTTTCTTATATTTTTAAAATATTCGTACCTTAAATCATAAAGTATAGGATATTGTTTCACAATTTCAATTGGTTTTTCTGTAATAGCCATTTTAATTCACGCGAAACTATAATTGCAGCGGAAAAAATCCGTGCATGCAGCGTTTCATGAAAACAACGCTGATCTGCTGCGACCGCTGCGGATTTCGCCCCAACTTGTCTGAACACCTGCATAAGTCGCCGTGCCTTACGATTCGCCGCGATTCCGCGTAGGTTGCGGCTGCGAACGTTTCGTGTCGGCGTGGGGAACCCTTAAGGTTATAAAAATATAGCTACGAAAATAGGTGTAAACACCTTTTCATTAAATGACAATCATGGTTAAATGCGGATAGGATTTCACCTAAAGAGAACATACATCTCCTCTGCTCGAAAGAAAAACGACTTCCGTTAATTTTAATGCCATATTTCTAATCAGCCCTTTATTCATAAAATCTTTCGACTAAATGTTGACAAATTTTGTGAACAGCATAGAACTCTTATGAACTCATCTCTTTATGTATATAGCTTTAAACTATCTTCTATATATATATATATATATATATATATATATATATATATATATATATATATATATATATATATATATACATACTATTGTTAGTAAAATATCTACTATGGCACATAACACAAACATACACTTCCTATGTGCAATAAACAAATATCTAAACATTAACAATTTTATGTTAAAGTTGTCAAACAAAAAAAATCAAATTGTTTGACCATGTAAAAGTAGCATATAAGCATTTCATATCGATTTTGTATTAATAACTTCTTCTTGCTTTTAGATTGGCCTTATGAGAAGCGGTAAGCTTCTGGCAGAAGAATCCCCGCAAGTTTTACTATCGATGTATCAATGTACGTCCTTAGAAGACGTATTTTTAAAACTATCTAGGAAGCAAGTTCAAGTAGGGGCGGCAGCTAATGACCAAAATATGGCTAATAACATAAGTTTAGCTACACTTAATTGGTCCAAGAAAGAATCCATCTCCGTGACGGAGGAGAGTGGAGTGGTCGGCTTGAATTTCCACCAAAGCAAAGAAGTTCTTGTTCCTGATAGCAACGGACATTTAGATGTAAGTATTAAAATTATGTACTTACTTCTCTTTTTCTTCTTCCAAAAAATCGCGCCACAAATCTTACCGTATGATAAGCCCCTTAAGGTGCAGTTATCTGCTGATTTACCGATTGAAATTGTTGTACGTATATATTTGTGTATGCGTATTTGTGCTTGTGTAATGTAATTCTACAATTAATGAGATAGCCCATGTGTCATGTTTGTAGTTGATACGCGTGTGTTTATTTGGTTATACTATATTAACTCCTATTTAATTCTCCTATATATCAATCGAACGTTTTATATTAGCTACTGGGCCGGGACTTATCAAAGATGAGAACTTGACACCCACTCTGTCCTAGCGTGTAATTTTACTCAGTATGCAGAACGAGATGATTCACTAATCATGCTTCTTAAGTATTTAGATTATTAAGAATAATACAAAAAATTTTAAAAAGTATATTGTTTCTTTTAAGCAAATAATATGTTATAATTATTGATGTATCTTTCCGAACACACACCCCAATCGAAAGATGCATTAATATAAATGAAAGAAACAGACGTGAAAAAAAAAGGCAAGTAAGCGGCCCTCATCGTACTTACAAAGAAACATGTGTAGCAAAGCCATCAGTAGAACGTAGCAGGCTTTGGTTGCCAATATTAAAAGAAGTCAACAACAAGAATATACCACTAATAGCAGAGTAACAGGAGAACGAAAAACACCACCTACAATCTTATACACAGTACATATGCAACACACAATACGCAAAACAAAAATCTACGTTTGCACGTAGATTTTTGCAATTTGCAATTGAAGCTATACACCCATAATTACGATACAGTTTACAAAAATATATAACACAAAAAAAACACATAATAGAGTCCTATTTGATTTGATATACAAGACGAGGCCAAGTATGTCAATACTGATCACAGATCACCTACCTCCCTAGATGTTCCACGACAATACTTTAGTTGGATATGAAATTCAGCGCTCCATAAGATTAGTATCGGAACTAATTCAAGCGAGAAATTACGCGGGAAATTCAAATTTTAATTTTGGTGTGAAAATTTAAATAAAGTTTAAAATTTTTAAATATAATTTGGTATATTTGAAAAAAAATGCATGACATTTTTAATTTCAAATATACACAATACAATTTAGGAAAAATAAAACAAAATGTAATTTATTTATTTATTTAATACTTGTAAAACAACTTTGTAATTTAATATAGAATAAAAATATGCTATTATCACTGAAAATTGTACAATTTTATGAAAAAAGCTTACAAAAAAGTCAGAAAAATAGCAATTTAAAATTTACTGAAATTACATAAATCGTCAATATCACAAAATAAAAAATAATAAAATACACAATGTATTGCAAAATTTAAATAAATTGCATAATAAATCCTTACGAACTAATACATTTTAATACAAGTTTCTGCATGTGATACTCAAATATATATTTATACAAATTGTTTAGTTACTTGTACATAACACTATTCATTAAGAAACTCTTCTACTGAATAATAATATATGATCTTTCAGATAGATAGGATTTTGTTCTTTTGCTGAACTCAAGGAAAGAAGTTGCAGATTTAAGTTCATCAATTAGTTATTTGTTCTCTAATATCAAATATTTATTGGACTCACCATACAAATGTAAGCTAGGAATTGCATTTTTATACAATTTATGACTCCATGCAGAAACAAACTTATCTTCAAAGTGTCTGTGGCAGATTCGTTTTGTTTTATAAACTGTACTAGCATTTATCATATCTAAATTAGGATTATTTATAACACTAAGCCACTTCCTAAATCGTGTAATGTCTTCATCAGGATTTGGAAATGTATGTCTAATTAATGACCAATTAGTACATTGTAGGATACAACATTTATTGTGAAAAACCATATTTAACTGATTATTATTAATCTGCAAAATACTATTTGAACACCGCCAGGAACATTTAAAACATAGATCACTGAGGTAGGTGATTTGTAATTTACAAACTAACAAAATCAAAATATAGACGCTAATATGACAATTGGCGATTGACAATTATAATTCTTTTCTTAGTTGGGTTCTAAACCTAAACTGCAGAGTAAAAGTAGAGACAGAGTAAAGCGACATCTGAAGATTAGTATCGGTACTACAAATGACATTAAGTTTAGTTTGACCTTGAGCTACCTACGTGAAACGTCTAGTTATTAGTGGTCTGTGATACTGATATGACATAGCCTAATAACAAATATTATTGGTTGTACATTTTTTCAAAAAAGTTAAAATGAAAAATTCGTAATTGACTATATACTAGTTGAAAGCAAGGACAGAAAAACAGTAATGAATAGGAAAGTACACAGAGGACCAGAAATAGGTAGCGACCGTAACATGGTAGTAACAAAGATACGAGAAGAAAAAAAAGAAGAAAATGACTAGTACAGAAAAGGAAAATCCAATTATAGAGACGATAAAGAAAGAGACAATTGAGAAAAAAGTCAACGAAAAACGTAGAACAATAAAAGAAACAGATGGCAAACAACCTACGGAATAACAACAACGACCTGCTACTTAATGCAGCTAAGGAAGTATGCGGAACAAGTAAAAAAGGCTCGACAAAGAAACAGACAGCAAGGTGATCACAAGAAAACAAACGCAAGTAAAAGTGAAGAAAATACATGAAAACAATTACTGAAAGACAAAAAAATGACAATAAATATAAAAATAAACGAAAATAGAAAAAATATTGGTACCAGCAGCCAAGAGAGACAAATAATTAGTAATAATACAATATCAGATACGATTTCAATAAATGGAGGAGTAAGACAGGGAATAGCACTTAGCCTAACACTATTTATATTTAGGGACGAAATTCTTAAGACATGCATAACCAGAAGTCGAAAACTGATGGTTGGGTCTATTCTCTGTTCACAAATTGTTGATAGCACGAAATATGCCTCAAAATCATCAAACGGTCGTAAAATTTGTATCATCATAAGCGTTCCTGAGGTGTTTATTCATTAAAATTAATATTAATATTAATAATGTTTTAATACTGATATATTTAGTAAAAAACAATTAAAACTTTCACGGCTAATGTTGGTTATTATATTATATTAATAAAAATAATAATTTAACCATTAACAATTTTGTAAATAATAATACCTTATCTCTTTGGATATTTTAATACTAATCTTCGCGTTTAATCACTTTACTAGAAAACCTGGTATTTATATCCGAAGGTGCTATCGGTTGCAAGATAATTAGGATGGAATTCCCCAGATTTTTAATAATATAATGGGTATAGATGCCGGATTTGGTCACGTACCTCGTCTGTTTAGTTTATATTCGAAACTTAACTTAAAAGGGTGAAGTTATTACGAACGAAAACAATTTGTTTGTTTAGTACGTTTTTGATCGCATGTAATTTACGGCTCGTCGGTGTTTCCGCTTCTACGGCAGTAATTAGCGTCTCGAATATTTCTTTTGCGAATTATATGCAGTGCGTGAGTGATTTTTTATTTAATACACCTACGAACATATACGTACCTTTCGCTTGTGCTCGTTTTGTTGGATTGTTTGTGATGGCTTCATCATCAACATCATCAAGTTTTACACCGGTACTGTTGCGTACAGTCAGTAAGTCTGTCTATTCACCAAGAGAGAAGACTATTGTTCTGAATGTTCACGATGCTCTGGTTTCTCAGAATCCCACAAACACTGTTCGCAACATAGTCGAAAGTTGTGCCAACATGACTGGCGTAGGGAGTCAACTATATATAGGTTCCTATCAGAAAGAAAAAAACACGGTATAGCTAACCCAAACACAAACGAACACTTAAAGAGAGGGAAAAAGCCTATTGAACTTGATGAATTTGCCAAAAATGGTATTCGAAGGAAAATTTATGGATTTTTTTTCAAAAAAGAAATACCAAACCTAAATAAAATTTTACAAGAAGTTAGAGATGATCCGGATTTGCCTCATATCGGACGAACTAAATTGTGGCAAGTTTTAAAAGAATTAAATTTCCGGTGGAAGAAATCAGACCGAAAATCACTTTTGATTGACCGGGAGGAGATAATATGTTGGAGAAGAAATTATCTAAAATTCATACGAAAATTCCGGGCTGAAGGAAGGCCAATCTTTTACCAGGATGAATCGTGGGTAAACTCAGGTCATACTTAAAAAAAGTTTGGTCAGATAAAAATATATTAAGCTCCAGGCAAGCCTTTATGAAAGGTTGGTCTACTGGTATCTCCCCACCTTCTGGTAAAGGCAGTAGATTAATAATTTCTCACATTGGCAGTGAAAAAGGATTTGTTAAGCATGGTTTGTTGGAATTTCAGTCCAAAAGCACAAAAGACTATCACGAGGAGATGACAGCTGATGTTTTCGAAGAGTATTTTGTGCAGATGATTAAACACATACCACCAAATTCAATTATAGCTATTAGATAATGCATCTTATCATTCACGACTAGTAGAAAGACTTCCAACGACTGCATGGAAAAAATAGGATATTCTTGACTGGCTGCGGAATAAGTACCTGCCTTACGAAGATGGAATGGTAAAAGCAGAACTTTTAAAAATTGCCCGGCAACACAAATCTAAGTTCAAGAAATACGTAGTTGACAAAATGGCGGAAAGGAGAAACATCACAGTCCTTAGACTTCCACCCTACCACTGCGAAATAAATCCAATTGAACTCATTTGGGCACAAATAAAAAGTTATGTGGCTACAAAAAATACGTCATATAAAATACAAGCTGTACGTGAATTGTTATACGAGTCTTTACAACACATTACAGAACAAAACTGGAAAGATGCAGTAAGACATGTAATAGAAGAAGAACAAAAAATGTGGGATCTTGGTAACATAATTGATGCGACCGTAGAGACACAACCGCTAATTATTAACCCTCAAGACGACTCGGATTCCGAAGTTGATCCTATTTAATTTGAATTTGAATAGTTTTCTAATCGTAATTATATAAGGTAAGTGATAGTAGTTGTAATCGTAAGGTATTAAAGGGAAAGGCGCAAAACGCCGCCTGTCAAAATGTTCAATGTGTTTTAAATGTATCGATTTTTTTTGAAATCCTGAGAAAACTAAAAAACCTTTTTGGAAAAATTTAAAGGCAGAATAAAATATTTATTAGAATAAATAAAAAGTTTCTTTTGCATGCAATATTTTCAATTAAAAATTATACTATATTCTCTCTTTTATTTTCACCCCTGTTGCATAACACAATAAAATAAACATTGTAGAAGTTTTCAGGGACTTTCTGTAATATACATCAGTATACACATATATAATACCCTCAGTAATAATGTAATCTTTCATTCTGCTTTTAAATTTTTCAAAAATATTTATTAGCTTTCTCCGAATTCGAACATAATGGATACATTTAAAACACATTTGGTGCCTTTCCCCTTAATTAAATAAATGTATCTTTTACAAATGGCAAAAAACTTTATTTTTGAATAAAATATTTTATTTTATTATAAGTTTTATTAAAACAAAAATACAATTTAAAAAATATATTTATTTACTTCAAATAAATGTTTCAATCATATACTCTACGACACTGATCGGCCAAAATACGTTCCTAATCGGATTATAAGCTTGACCGCTGTATTGTATTCCGGCAGATACAAGGTGGGTTAGTCGAAAACATCTTAAATCGTCAGTTTCAGGTTGGTTTTTACTATTATATCGTATTACCTATCCTCTGTATTTCAGTTCTCTAATTAGGATTAAACTTGTAGTGAGCTATCAACAAATTGTGAACCGAGTATAGAAATCTGCAAAGAGTAAAAATTTCTGAATGACTATTTGCTGACGATTTGGTGCTAATTACAAAAACTGAAAAAGAACTTCAAAATAATTTGGAAATATGGAAAGAAGTTTGCACTGAAAACGGAATACAGATAAATATAAACAAAACAAAAGTAACGCATATGGGGGAAACAATAGAAGAACATAATATAGAAATTAAAGGAACAAAAATAGAACAAATTCAAACTTTTACACACTTTGAAGTAATAATAGAAGAATGGGGATCTCTAGAAGCAGAAATCAAGAGCAGGGTAGAGAAAACGCTACAACTGTATCATACACTAAACAAAAAATTTTTATGTAGAAAAGAAATATCATGGAATACAAAAACGAAAGTTTTCCAAACAGTTTAAAGACCTGTCCTGACTTTTGGCATCGATTTATGTTTACTAACGAAGCGGCAAAAGAGCAAGGTACGGGATATAATAGACATGAAGTTTTTAAGAAGAGTTAAATGCCTTACCGAAATAGATAAAATAAGGAACACAGATATAAGGAATGAACTGAAAATATAATCCACATTGGAGTTTATAGAAGAGATACAGCTGAGCTGGTGAGATTATTTACATTAGATGAAGGACACCATACCAGTGGGAAGAGTGTGGAAAGCAAAAATATTGAAAAACAAAAGGAAGACCAAGGCAGACATGGGATAAGGTAATCGGGAAGATATTGAAGAGAAGAGGAATGACATGAACAGATGCAAGTAGGTTGACAAGAAACCACAAAGAATGGATGAAATTAAAAAAAAAATTAAACCTTAGACCATTTTATGACATTCTCTTTTATGAAGGTTTGTAATTATGTTTATAAATATACATTTCACCAGAATTTTCATAACAATTTTTATTTTGAAAACGATTTCCAGAGAGAAAGTCGAAACGTGAAACACTACTTTAAGTTAAAAATGTGATTTTCTTTGCAACCAATAATTGTCGCTTAATCCCATATAAATATAATATTTAAATTAGACAAACCATACAAAAGTAGTTTTAGAACCTTGCCTGAAAAAGTTATTAAAATAAAGTAGATGCTCTTGTGGATTTGGAATAATGGTATTAATTCCAGTCACAACAGAAACTCCAAGTTCCATTAGAGATGATTCATCTGACTTTTTGCCTTTATATCTTCTTCTTGAAGTGCCATCTCTGCGGCGGAGGTCGACATTTATAACAAATTATTGGCCGATTGGCTTGAAATGACATTTTCTTAACATTAGCTGGTTTTGATTTAAGTTTCATTTCTTCATCCAAGTCTGGATTTTACAAAGTCCATTTTAATAGTTGTATTCATTGTTTCTATAGCTGTAATGACTGATTCATACTCTTCATTTAATGATAGTAATAAATGACATACTTTGTCTTCTTCTGCTAGTTTTGAACCAGCATTTTCTAAATCTCTTATAAGAGTGTCAAACAACAGAAAATGATTTTTTCTCTCGAATATGTTCTCTAGGGCTTTAACCATTTCTTTTGTGGTTTTTGCATCTTTAACCAAATCCAAGTGTTTGTCTGTTAAACATTGTACTATGATGTTTTTACCTTTGAAATATTTTAGTTTAAATTCTGCTTTCTCTTTTGTTTCACTGTAGTCTTGCTCAGTTTTCTCCATTGCATCTAATAATTGTCTTTCTTCCAGTAGTATGCTTACTCTGAATTTCCAATTGTTGAAATTTGTAGCATTTGTCAGCTGAGGAACAATCATTATTGCATTAGTAATTTTATATTTCACACTTTTTTTGCTTCTATATTTTTTGTCTGTCTGGGTGCCCATAACCTTGTAGAATTTTTTGTTTTCGAGTGAGATAATATACAGATAGCAGTGAATTATTCGATTACTATATTCTACAAAAGTACTAAAAACTAAACATGTGCTACATTCTAGAAATATATAATTACAATTCACAATCGACAACCGGAATCACTTATTATAACACATTGTGAGCCAGCGTTGCCAAGTACAAAATTCCAATATCTGTGAGGGTGCAGGCACCAGATTTCCAATTGGAGATCACGGTACTTAATGGGTTAAAATACGTTAGTTACAAAGTAAACCTGCACATTAAAATATTTTAACCAACTTAAGTAGGTATTTTTCCTATTAAATAAAAACGTTTATATTTTTAGATTGGAAAACCACCTTCTTCGGCAACTCATGGCATCAAAGAAGCATGTGACGACTGTAGTAACTGTTCAGATTTCACAACGACGGGAAAACTTCGAGCCCTTCTCCAAAAAAATTTCCTCAGAATGTGGAGAAATGTCGGGGTGATGTTATTCATCTTCGCTCTACCTGTGATGCAAGTTATCCTCTTCTGTTTGGCCATCGGAGGAGATCCCAAAGGACTTAAACTAGCCATAGTAAATCACGAAAAGAACTTTACGAATTTGACTTATCAGGTAAGAATTATTTTTATACAACAAATAATAATTACTAGACATCTTTTCATAATCTCTTTTTCTTATGCTATGCTTGAATATGAGCTTCGGCTATCAAATTGGCTATACTAATTTTGTTGACGTCAGCTCGAAAAGGGATGCAGAAGATTTGTTAAACAATTCCTCAGGTTTTTAAGCCATGACGTTCGTCTTCGACCTGGTCTGCTTCTTTTACCTATCTTGCCTTCTAATATTAAATAAAGTATATTATATATATATATATATATATATATATATAATATATATATATATATACCGGGTGGTGAATCGTCAAACGGACCATAGGAAACTCAATGAGAAATTTTAAATTGTTGAATTGCTGCTTCCCTAATTATTTTAGATCAAAAGTCATAAAAAACTATTTGTAGAGGACTAAAATCTGAATTAAAAACAATTGTTAAAACCGTTCTACGAATCAAATGTACTTCAAAATTTTGAAAAAATGTGATACATTTTTCAGACCACCCCTAAAAGTTAGGCCACACGTAATGCAAGAATATATATTAGGACGTTTGTGTTTTATCATATCAGTATATCAATAGTGTCAGATGTTTGACAATTTGAATTGTCAATTTTTTTATTTTATAATTAATTTATTAACAATGAATTTTACTAAATACTACTACTACTGAACATTATTACTTTGTGAACAATAAATTATATTGTTTACAAATCGATCAATATAATGAAATGTACTCAGTTGACGAAAAATCGCATAATGTTGTATTCAGGCAATAGCGCGAACCTTTTCCTGCCACTACCGGATCTTTATTTAATGTAAGATATTCTAATTCACTAAAATTTAATTCCATGTTAAGTTAAGTTATACAACAATTCAATGAATTCCAATATACTATTACTGTGATCTTTATTCCTAATAATAATATATGATTATTTCTAAACATAAAACTATAATAAATGTTATAATAAAACATGAATAAAACATTTTTATTATTGCTTTTTTCTCCTCAACTGAGTACATTTTTTAATCAACTTAATTTTTTTTAAACAATAAATCACAAAATTTTGGCCATTTAAATCATAGATAAATATAATATACCTAAATTGATTTAAATATTGTCATATATCAGAAACAATAATATGACAAAACGCAACACGTAATACACATTTTTTCACAGAAAAATGTATTATATTTTAGCAAAATTTTGGAATACGTTTAAGTCGTAGAATAATTTTAACAGTTGTTTTCGATACATATTTGAGTCCTCTACAAATAGTTTCCCATGACTTTTGGTGTAAAATAATTAGGGAAGCAGGAATTCAACAATTTAGAATTTACCATTGAGTTTCCTATGGCCCGTTTGCCGATTCACCACCCTGTATATATATATATATATAATATATATATATATATATATATATATATATATATATAATATATATATACATATATATATATAATATATAATATATAATATATATATATATATATATATATATATATATATATATATATAATATATATATATATAGGGTGGCGCATAACATATTCCACTTTGCGATTTTTGACTGTTCTGATCACTTCTGTAATTTTTTTATCCGCTGCAAAACAACCTTGTTAAGAACTCTACCTACCCAGCTTATTCGCAGAATTCTCCCATACACCCAAATTTCAAAGGCTTCAAGTTTTCTTAAAAGTGTTTCTGTTAAAGTCCTATCTTCGACAGCATATAATTACTATTCACAATACATTAGCTCAAATATTTGCCACTGTTAGGTCGACCAATTTCTTGAAGATCATGAACAATAAACAATTCGACTTAATGTTGCTTCTATTATATTGATTATCACGATCATCCAGCCTCAAAAGGCCACTGCTGAACATAGGCCTCTTCCTTGTTTTCCTTGGTTGGTGTTTCCAACCTTGTCGATCTTGCACCAATCTCATCCAGTTTTATTTTGTCTTTTTAAATCGTCAGCCCATCGTGTAGGTGGTGGACCGATACTTCTCTTGCCTTCCCTTGGTCTACATCGCCTATCCGTCATTCTATCTATGTGTCCTGTCCATCTTCATTTTAGTCTGGTTATTATTTCGATTAACGTTAGTCGCGTTAGTTCTTCTCCTGGCTTCTTCGTTTTTTATTTTGTCTCCCCCTAACATGGATCGATCCATTCTTTTCTATGTAACTCTTGGTTTGGTAGCCAAGGCTTTTGTTTAAGTAAATGTTACTGTTTCATATGTCAACATTGGGCAGACGCATTTATTAAATACTTTTCTCTTGAGCCACGTGGACAGCTCACTTTTAAAGACCGCTTCTGCCCACTCAATAGCGATTCTTCTCTTCAGTTCATGAGTCTGATTATCCCTTCTTCTTCTTCTTCCTATGCCGTCCCCATTAACGGAGGTTGGCGACCACATTTTTAAAAGCTTCTTCGTCTTTTGCAACGTGGAATAATTCGTCTACAGTCATGTTTGTCCAGTCTCGAATATTTCGCAGCCATGACTTCCTCTTTCTACCTATTTCCTTTTTGCCATCGACTCTACCCTGCATGATGACCTGCAGAAGACTATATTTATTATTTCTTAGTATGTGTCCAAGGTATGCAGTCTTGCGTACTTTTATCGTTCTCAACAATTTTTTGACTCGACCCATTCTTCTCAGCACTTCCTCATTGGTGACCCTGGCAGTCCATGGGATTCTCAACATTCTCCGGTATATCCAAAGTTCAAAGGCTTTAATCTTTTTAACTATTTGCGCTTTTAGTGTCCATGTTTCTACCCCGTACAATAGTTGCGACTAGACGTAACATTCAACAAACCTCAGTCTCAACGCAATATTCAGATTTTTGTCACAGAACAATTGTTTGAATTTTAAGAACGCTGCCCTTGCCATTTCTATTCGTACCCGGATCTCTTGGTCTGGATCTAATTCTGTGTTGATGTAAGCTCCCAGATATTTATATTTTGTTTATCCCTGACAATAATAATTTCATTGATTATAACTTCAAGTTAAATCGACTACAGGCTGGACGAATTTTATCTTAAAATAACTATAGCTGGTTGCATGGTTGAGTTTCGATTCAATTCCAGCCTCTCGCCATTCTCTCACACGTGTTTTAAATTTCATCAGAGAAGACTTTTTGAGAGAACTGAATTGTCCTAATGCGTACCATCCATGTGAAGATTATTAGTAAAATAATGCAACAACAAAAATGCTAATAGTGACCTCTAACGAGATAAAATATAGTCAGTAACGATAGCGATTAAAGTAAACTGTAAACCAAAGGTATAATAATGTAGCTTTGGTTTACAAAGACTGAATTTTTATTTCTTCTTATTTATCATGATTTAAATTACAATAATTTTCTTACGAAAAATATTACAAAAAGTTAACTTTTTCTTTCGACCTTCCTGTTTTAAGCGTTCTGTAAACTTTTTTTTAGCAGTTACTGACAGATATTCTTATCTTTTACCAATCTTTTGGCATGTTTTTTTATAACTATTTGTATTTTTTATTTACAGCAAATAATTAATTTTTCCGTTCCTCAAATCCTCCTTATTTTCTGACTTCTACCTGTCTTCCCAATATTCTAATTCAAGCTATTCTTCACATTTTTTCGTAAGATCTACAGTTTGCACAATTTTCAGAGTATGCTTTTATAGGATGTATATTGCCAGTTATAATTCCATCTTCTAAGGGGAATTATATCATTGCTAACATTAGATTTAAGAAGTACTCGTAACCATTTACTATTTTCTTTCTGTACTTCTTGTTGGAGAACTATATCTCCAAACCAATAATTCTATTTTGTATCAAATAATTCTATTTTCGCTTCGTTTACCTAAATAAATCCAGTCTACCTAACCTTGTTTCTGAGAATGTTAATCCCCGCCCACAGCGCCTGCTTGACGACAGACCGGCTTTTCAAAATGCATAAACAAAAAAATATTCCGGCGGGGCGAGGGAGGCGACCAGTCGACACCTACAGTGATTTAGCGACTTTCATAGGGCTAACATCTATATTCAAAAGTTCGGAGAGGATTCTCCACGTTGCAGTTTACGCAATTGACCGGAAGCCGTAATATGTAAATAAGTGTTATGGTGTTTTCGCTTTCGTTCGCAAATTGTAATATTCAAATTAAGTTCCTACGATAAGTTACACACTCAAATTTTATAAGCTCTATTTCTTGCCCTTTCTTTCTTTTTTCAATTACAGTTTCGTTCTAAACAAGTAATTGTTTTATTTCACTATATCAATTGAACAGGCCAGATAAAAGCAACTTTGAAAGTCCATTTTAGTTTCTCTACTGAGCTGTCGAAGGCTAGCGGACTAATTGGACTTACAGCAAGAACAAAGCCGCTGAAAGAGACACTGTTGCATACAAGCCTCTCCATGGAAGGGATGTTGTAAACCGGCACCCTCCACTTCTGTACTTGGCAATCTTTTCGTTGTATTTAACATGCAAATTCTTGGTGTTAGGTATCGCTACGTCAATAAATGTTGTTTTCCTAGTAAGTTTATTAACTGGTATGAGATCCTGTCTCCGTTTGTGAGCACAGTGCGGTCCCAGTATAGTATGTAGTTGTCATTTTCAAGTATTCTCTCAGGAATGCATTGATAGTAAGAAAGATGGTCATTTGGAGAAGTCCCAGTTTGTCAGCTGATTCTTGTTGAAGTCATGGCGTTCTTTATAGTTAGTACCGATAAATGCCTGGCAGTCACCGTAAGATGTTGGATGGTTTCTTGGGCTTGGCATCCGTATCGGCATTTGTCATTTTGGAATTAAGGATCTTTAACAATATATTTCAGATAATTTTTGATTGGAATAACCTGGTACTAAATAACAAGTCGGAAACCCTCAGTCTCAGGAAACATCTTTTCTGATGTCAACCAATAGTTTGACTCTGTATTGTCGACATATTCTTGGCTCATCTCATTGAAATGTCGCCCATGCAGAGGTTTACTCATCCAGGTGCGCATTTTCTCTTGCTTAGTCAGGTGGTTTATGCGTATTTCTTGTTCCCTTGGTTTAAGCGGCGTTGTATGGTCTACTGCCCAAATTGCTCGATGTAAAGTAGATGTCTAAGCCTGCACCTGAAAATAAGTTCTTAAATTAGTAATCCGTTTATCCAGTTGATCCACATTCTTGTTATTATTGTTTTAGGAATGCGAGTATGAAAAAGGCTGTAAATTCGGCAACTTAAGTTGTCGATACGTAGACACAATAAATACAACGACGATCATCAAACAATATTATGCGACACCGGAAGAAGCCAAGGAGGCGGTTAGAACAGGCAATGCGTGGGGTGCCTTGTACTTTACCGAGAACTTTACCGATGCCCTGGTAGCTAGGATGGCATTAGGGAAAGACGCAGATGAAGAAACGTTAGATCAGAGCGAAGTGAGAGTTTGGCTGGATATGTCAAGTAAGTATTTATTCTTATATATTTATTTTCAAATCTTATTATATATTCTTATATCTTGTTATATTATATTCTCATCTCTTTTTATGTATATTCTCATGTCTTATTCTTACACTCTATGCGATAATTATTCAACATGACAAAATATGAGTATATCAGTTCGACAACTAATGCTATACAAATAAGTCTACTACCTGTGTTCTAGTTCTTTAAATTTTTGGGTTATTTTTATTAGATGCATCGCCTATATCCAAAATTCTATATATTTATTTCATTTTAATTTCTTTCCATCAAATTTCAGTTTTAAATACCCTATTTGTGTCTTCCTTCACTTTTATCTTTATTCCCTTGCTATTTTTCTATATTTTTGAGTGTGCTTTTGTTTTTTAGTATTTGTCTATCATTTTTTCCATTTTAAGCGGAACATTCTGTCGCCTATTTTGCAACCTTTTTTTAATTTAATGTTAATGTGAAGATTTGTTTACATAAATTGCTCCAGTTTTATCTTTCCATCTTTTTATCTCTCCGATCATTAGCTTTCAAATCCAAGCCTTTCATAACGATATTTTTCTCTTTCTATTGTCTTTTTGCAGCTGTTAGATTCTCTTATTTGCATCATTAAGTCCCTTCTCTAGTTCGATTTTTTTTTTGGTTCAGTTCTCTATTACAATCAAGTATCCCTTTTTCTTCTTTAGGCAGTTTTATCACTGCGTCCATCATTTCGTCATTTTTCGCCAAAAGTTCACGCACTATTTTAAGCATATCCTCGTTTTGAAAGCTCGGTGACCTCTTCGTTAATTTGTTATTTTCAGAAATCACTTGTTTTTTACTTTCTCCTATATTTCTCTTCTTTCAGTTCTTCTCACCACTACTGTCATATTCCGATCTAACTCCCTCTGTCTTCTTATATGCCCCTCCACTGTGCATTTTGTACTTTTAAATTTTAGTAATAAATAAAATAAATAAAAATCTTTATTAATTTATGAAAACCTGAATAATAGACCTGTTCTTTTTGTTGACGATATGTTTATACTTTTTTTTAAATTTTTTAGATCAACAAATAGGTATTATACTTCAACGAGATCTTCAGCTGGCCTTCCAAAACTTTACGAAAGATATATTCAGGGATTGTGAGTATAATGAAGAATTAGCCGAGATACCTATATCTTTTAAGGAACCTATCTATGGTTCTAACCAGCCGTCCTTTACAGACTTCGTAGCACCTGGTGTAATATTAACGTAAGTAGCATTATAATGGACCTCATAATCAACTCGTCTATTAGGGATGGAGAGTTTTATATGTATAAATTATAACTGAGATAATGAGGGCAAATCTCGTTAAATCCAAAGACTTAACTTTGGAGAAACCGACAAGCTTTATTTAAGCTTTTTTATTTTTAGTTTATCAAAAGTTTTTTTCGAAAGTGAAGTAAATTATTATTTGGAAATATTTGGTTTTTAAATAAGCACTAATAAGGGCGTTACTTTGAAAATGAATTTTACGTGGTTCGTTTTTAAAGTTAGATTTTTAGCGTGTTTCGTATTATTAGTATGGATGTTTTTGTTTGTTTTCCTTTTCTTCAGTTACATATATCACACAAAAGATCAACAACTGTATGAATAACACTGAAGAATTAATGGTGAAAACATTTTATTACCTTTCATAAGAGATTTGAAAGTACCACAATTATGGTACTCTTCTGATTGTATAGTAATCACGTGTGGCGATTTTGCCTGCTTAAAACAATATTTTTTTGATGGCTTAAATTTAAAGTGCTAGTGACAAGTAAGCTTGAGATGATCTACTGCTTCTTATTTTTAATTAAAAATCTGTACGTCAACGCCTGGTCGTCGAACAGTCGCATATTTTGTAATAATTTTGACATAGCCCTCAAGGTTTTAGGTAACTTCTTATTTCTTGAAACTCTTTGTCACCAAATCCAAATAAACGGTCTGGTGTTATAAAACAATGGTGTCGTAAGGGAAACATTAATCTACTTTTTAATGTTTTTGGGGGGTACGTCGTAGCCAACTTTGTAACTTAACAATGTGGTTCTATTTTTGATCACAGACATTTCCTTTTCTGTTGCTTTAGTAGAGAGAAAAATGCTTTAGCTTTTCCTTGATAACAGCTGTACCTTCTAATTGCTTAATTTTTTTTGTAACTTCAAGGCAAGTTGATCATACATCAACTCGAGGTGAGCCAAATCGCAAATGTGCAAAATTAAATAAAGAAGGAATTTGTCACTTTCAATTTTTTCTCAGCTTGAGCAAGTATATACGCGCCAATTCTTCTATACATAAATCCAAAAAAAAGATAATGTCGACTACAGCCATGCTATTTCTTGAAGATCGGGATACTCCGCGATAAATTCACGATACGTTTGCACTTAACACAAAAATCTGTTAATTTACACAAATTGGTTTGTCGCTTTCCATAGATCGTGATGAGTTTGCGATGCTTTATACACACAAACGAAACTGTTACTTCGCACAAATTGATTCCTAGTTGGTTCGTCGTTTTTCATGGTTTCTGACGAGTTTGAGATCAGTTCGTTGTAAACATTATTTTTAACAACAACCGAGCAGAACAGAAGAGATAGGAAGCGTCTAAGCGATCCATTTTAAGGGAAGGTTATATATGGATAGACGTGACAAAGAAACAAAAAATGTTTATAACTAGCATATCGGTTGCGCACTACTACGTGTTAAAATATATTTTTTGCAGAAATGATAACCAAATTTTTGATAAAAGTAACTGCCAAACAGAAAAAATTTCTTCTATATATTTGGTTTCGTTTAGTAAAATATCTCTTTCCTGTTTTATAATTACATATTTTTCATTTTAGGATCGTGTTTTTCTTGGCGGTAGCTCTGACATCCTCTGCCTTAATTATAGAAAGAATGGAAGGATTATTGGATAGATCTTGGGTAGCTGGTAAGTATATTGTTAAACATTGTTTATAGGTTGCATAGAGTTAGCTGGTAGGTACATGTTAAACATGTTTTATTAGCTTGCATAGAGTAATTAATAAAAAAAAACAACCAATACAGAAATGCTAGTTCTAAACATAACCATGAAGTTATTCACTACAAAATCAAAGAACAAACTATAAACAAACTATAGCAGCAAATAGATGTTCAGAAAGAGCAATTATGATTTAGAAAGTATATATAGATATATCCAAATTTACAGTAGAAACACACCTGCATATATTTGTTTTGTCGATATAACGAATACATTCGATTAGGTGTGATTATAAAATATAATAGTCAACCAATGAGTCTATTACAAAGATTAACTATTTTAAATAATTCAGATGCTGGGTCAACGATACACTAATTATCCAGTCTACATACAAAAATTCATTTCCTAAAAGTTATGTTTAGTCTGTATTACTATAGGGACATAAAACCTGGACAACGAAAGATTTTGTGATGAATAAGTTGTAACTCTTTGAGATGTCGTCTTACCATGGAATGTTTAAAATATCATTGGTTTGTAGCGTATTTCAAACATAGAAGTATTAAACAGAGTAAATCAAGGCCAAAGAGACAACGAAAATCACAAAAAGGAGAAAACCTAAATACATCAGGCCTATACCGTGATATAGCAGATAGAAAGCAACGGAAATATAGAGGGAAATAGATGAATTAGTACGAAGAAACATTCGTGGATCTGATACTTTTAGCAATCGATTGACTTTTCAGCAGATCAATCATTAAATGCCGCATAAAATCGAAAACGTCTAAATCTGGTCATGGCACTCAAACAAGAAGAAGTACGAAATACTAGAGATACTAAAAAAGACAAGAAAAGCCCCAATAAAATCAAAACACTTCAGCATGTTCGTCTCATTTTTAGTAATACAGTGTAATATCATTTAAGAGGATAAAAAAGTCAGAATATACCATGCCTGCATTGAACCCCTTATGACACATGAAATAGAAACGGAGAGAATCGCTAGTATAACCAAAAGTGTGCTGCGAGTAGGGGGAATGAACATAATAACAAGCAAACTGCAAGATGCTACGTATAAAATTAAAACACAAAAGCGCTATAGAATGGAAAAGACAGATATTGCATCAATGATTTATCCAGCTAACAAAAATTGAGTATAACGGCATTCTTACCGAGAATTACACTGAAGGGAAAAGGCACGCGAGAAGGGTTGTCAAAGAGATAGATGGATGTATAATAATCTATCTATAAAGACATTTTATAGCGATGAACCAGTAATGACATCGAAAGATATTTAAAAAGATAAGAAAAACAAGCCTTTTGGTCCACCTATTATCATTTAAACGTGCTATATGATCCAGGTGGACCAAAAGACTCATATAATGGAGACCTAGAGAAGACAAAAGACACCGAGGCAGACCACCAAAAAGATGGATGGACGACTTGAGAAAAACAGTCGGAAATTGGATACAGAAGGCGCAAGATAGAGAACAGTGGAAGAACATGGAGGAGACCTATATCCAAAAGTGGATGCAAGAGGTTGAGGAATGAGATGATGATGATGATGATGATGATGATGATGATGATGATGATGATGAAGAAAAACAAGAAGAAAAGACTAATAAGGGTTATTTAAATGTGAATATCTACTTTGGAAACTTTATTCAAGATAAAACCAATAAATAAAAAATCAAGTTGTGGATTTTTTTAACTTACAGTTTTGAATGATACACTAGAGTATAATAGACCAGCATCTCTGTGTCTGATTGTCAGAGTAAGACTCAAAGATGTGATACATGTTCTGTATAATAGAGAAATTCCCCTAAATATTATAAAAACTATCGGAAACATCTACCAAAACACCAAAATGCAACAAAGAATAAATAAACAACTTACAAAACCTATAGAAATAGGAAGCGGAATAAGACAAGGGGATTCATTGAGCCCTATGCTCTTCATTTTATTCATGGATGAAATCATCAAAAGCGTTAACAAAGGAAGAGGATACAGAATGGGAAACAAAGAAATAAAAATACTCTGTTACGCAGACGACGCAGTATTGATAGCCCAAGATAAAGATAGTCTACAAAGACAGGTCCACAGATTAAACATACGAGCAAAAAAATTTAATAGGACAGAAAACTAAAACAATAGTAGTCAGCAAAGAACCAACCAGATGTAAACTAGAAATTGATGGCATCAGTGTTGAACAAGTAATGAAAACAAAATACCTAGGAAGGACATTGTACAGCTGTGGAGACCTAGACAAAAAAGTGAAAGATCAAGTATAAAAAGCAAATTGACTGGCAGGATTCCTTAATGACACTATATGGCAAAACAGACATATTAACAATAAGATGACGTCAAGAATTGATAAAACCAGTATTGGACCAATAATGACATATGCCTCAGAAACAAGACCTGGTACAGCTACACCGCAAAGACTGCTGGAAATGGCAAGGATGAAAGTGCTGAGAAGAATTACAGTAAATTCGCTGAGAGATCGAAAGAGATGTTAAGACATTAGAAGAAAATGTAAGGTACAGTGTATAAATGAATGGGCACAAAATAGAAAAAAAAGAAAGGAATAAGCGATACGTCACCAATCAGCAAAAGAAGTATCGAACGTCCGCGCAAAAGTTGGAGTGATATTTTTCAATGGAGGTATTAATCCGCGAAAGAACGAGCAGAACTGTTTATAAAAATGAAGAAGAAGAAAAAGAATAAGAAGAAAAAGACGAAAACGAAGAAGTGTTTGGAACAACGCCCAAGAGCATTTCTAAAGGTACCTACTGTTAATGCACAACCTGTTGTATCTGTTAATGTTATACTTTGATTTATTTAATTTTTTTTCATCATTACCTAGTTCAATGAATTTATTATTTGAGTTCATTATTTAATACAGTGTTTTAATTTTCAGGTGTTACACCAGGAGAAATTCTATTTTCCCACGTAATCACTCAGTTCGTGGTAATGTGCGGTCAAACAACTCTGGTACTTATTTTCATGATCATCGTGTTCCAAGTTGAATGCAAGGGAGATATCATCCTTGTCGTAATAATTACGATTCTACAAGGATTGTGTGGTATGTGTTTCGGATTCGTCATCTCTGCCATCTGTGAGCTAGAACGAAACGCAATTCAGCTGGCGCTAGGTAGCTTTTACCCAACTCTTCTGTTGAGCGGTGTCATTTGGCCGATAGAGGGGATGCCAACGGTGCTCCGATATATATCCACCTTCCTGCCTTTGACCTTGGCCACGACTTCATTGAGATCCATGATGACTAGGGGTTGGTCCATAGGAGAACCCGATGTCTATTACGGATTTATAGCTACAATAGTATGGATAGTACTATTTTTAACGATTAGTTTACTGGTGCTAAGAGCTAAGAGGGGTTGAAAACCATGTTTTGCTATTTAGTAAATTTTTTACCGCGTGGGAAATTTTGTATCTATAATTCTACTTTTTAATAAACAGATCAGATTTAAAAACTCTATTTAATTGTTTGGAAGGGTGTTTTTGCAAATCCAGTAAATACAGCCAAAAATTGGTTTAAGTGACGGACAGTAAATCTATGTTATAAACTTGCCCCCTTAAATACTGTAAGTACTAGTATTAATTTAATTTTTGTATATTTTTTACTCATTGCGCGTACTGTCTTTATGCGATGTTAGGTAAATTTTTTAAGGAATACTAAAATCAAACCTTAAATTTAATAGGTATTAACACAATATCGTCGTCAGGCCAAGAATAATATTAAACAAAAATATTTACATTATCATAGTGGTTATATTTAATTACACACAAATGACGACAAATCGCAATTTGTTGTGTATTAGTGCTGGTTCTAAAGTGCATTCAGCAGCTTTCTTCCAGATCCATTTGTCCAAAACGCGTTGCTTGCAAAATAATTTTACTTAATCTGTAATCTTATAAGCATTAATGTATACCTCTTATTGACCTTTTCTCAAATGTTAAATATCATTATAACCAGAATAATATTACATTCTATATTTTATAATATTGCTGCTCGATATCCGTTGCCTGTTGACGGCATTTATGTTCAGATCAGTCTCTTAAGTTATGCAACCAGAATCATGCTTTGTACCATTCCTCTAACTTGTTCTAGTCACGGATTAATTCGCAATGAACGTAAACGTTGAAGAGTATATGTTTATTTTCTTTTGTCGTTGCATAGAATAAAAGCATCTTAAAGAATCGCAGCATTATCAACTTGGTCTTTTTCGTCTTATATGAGTTAAAAAATCAGTTAAAGCTTACTGTAATTCACTCTTATTCAGTATGCTACATATATTATTAATCAAACACATTTTTTTTTATCTTGAAATAAATTAGCTGCTTGGTTATTGCATATATGGTCATTTTTCCTTTGGTGTCATATGCTAGGCAGCTTAGAGGCGTTCACGCTAGTTGTTGAATGCATAGATATCCCCTTCTTCCCTTCGAATTACTATTGTTCTGAAGCTATTTTCTTGTGGCATTTTAAATTAATTACTATTTAATTGGGAATAAGCCACAATTAAAGATAAAAATTTGTTTATTGACGTTTCAATTTCCACTTCGGAAATCGTTCTCAAAATACAAACAGTAAATTAAACAAATTTTGTTTTTTGTTACATAGTGAAAAATTCTTCTAATAATTTAATTTTATCTGACTCATTTATATTGACAATTCAGACATACATTATGCATTTTAAAGTAGACGACTTTAAAATGATATTGCCAATATTGTTGAGTTGCGCTCCTAGGACGACTTTACTTATAAGATAGTTCATTCGATTACATGAAATCAACTTTAACTTGAGAATATCCGTCAGAAAAAAATCATAGCATATAATTCGTCTTTAAAAAGACAAACACATGACAAGATGACAGTAAAATTCTTCTGTTAGTGATTCCATAGTAAATTATGAGGGAAAAACCAGGAATAAAAACCTCATAATACAATCCCGACATGGTAAGTATTTGTTCGTGCATTTAGTTTACCTTCAATAAACACCAAAATTCTGATTTTATATGTTTCGTTATTTAAAAAACATAAATGATGTATCCTCTATATGTTACTGACTTACTAATACTGGTATTTTCTTATTAATAACGTCCTCTTTCAATATTGGTAACCAGATCCTACTACATTCTGCCGAGGAATTTGCTACACAATTGGCCTCATTTAGTATAATTAAAGCCGCTTCTTTGATTTTTCTTTTTTTACCATCCGTCTCTTTTAGGACTACATTTGAATTATTCCATTGAACCCTATGTTCATTATCCCATGCGTGTTTACATATTTGAGATCTATCAAATTCTCTATTTTATCTATCAAATATAGAATTTGATAGATCTCAAATATGTAAACACGCATGGGATAATGAACATAGGGTTCAATGGAATAATTCAAATATAGTCCTAAAAGAGACCGATGGTAAAAAAAAGAAAAATCAAAGAAGCGGCTTTAATTATGCTAAGTGAGGCCAATTGTGTAGCCAATTCCTCAGCAGAATGTAGTAGGATCTGGTTACCAATATTGAAAGAGGAAATTATTAATAAGAAAATACCAGTATTAGTAAGTCAGTAGCATATAGAGGATACATCATTTATGTTTTTTAAATAACGAAACATATAAAATCAGAATTTTGGTGTTTATTGAAGGTAAACTAAATGCACGAACAAATACTTACCATGTCGGGATAGTATTATGAGGTTTTTTTTCCTGGTTTTTCCCTCATAATTTACTATGGAATCACTAACAGGAGAATTTTACTGTCATCATGTCATGTGTTTGTCTTTTTATAGACGAATTATATGCTATGATTTTTTCTGACGGATATTCTCAAGTTAAAGTTGATTTCATGTAATCGAATGAACTATCTTATAAGTAAAGTCGTCCTAGGAGCGCAACTCAACAATATTGGCAATATCATTTTAAAGTCGTCTACTTTAAAATGCATAATGTATGTCTGAATTGTCAATATAAATGCGTCAGATAAAATTAAATCATTAGAAGAATTTTTCACTATGTAACAAAAAACAAAATTTGTTTAATTTACTGTTTTTTTTTGAGAACGATTCCGAAGTGGAAATTGAAACGTCATTAGACGTATTTTTATCTTTAATTGTGGCTTATTCCCAGTTAAATAGTAATTAATTCTAATTACTGTGCTAAAATCAGGTAAGCTGTACTAGTTTCTTATTTCTCTTTTCGTTTCGTATCTTATAATTACTTTAAATAATTATAAATGTACTTTAGAGCCCACAGTGTTTAGTATCGTGGTGGATATGAACATCATGGTATAACAACAACATAGTCCTAATAATAAGTTATCGGCATTGTTTTAGTATTCTTCAAAAAAATATTAAAATTATTGAGTAAAACAAAATATTTGTTCTACTTAAAAATATTTATTATTAGATACTTTTTGTCAAAAAAGAACTTATAATTATCGTGGTTTTTGAGATATTTTCTTTGTAGATAAAGACGTACGTATTGAATAGTTTTAAAAGTGCTCAAACCTAATTTTCATATTGTTATAAGTGGTATTGTGATGTATGTTTTGTTATATAGTAGATATAATAAAATTTTACAAAATTTCATTTTGCGTTTTATTAAGTAGGTATCCTAACATGATGGTGTAATGAAGATTTGTCGAATATGTTGTGCAATAAAATAAATCTAGGCGAAAGAAGATATATTGACATCACAAGATCATTACAAGATTAGCAGACCTTTAAAGCATAGATGATCACATGATCAGAGCCAGAAGTTGGGCCATTGAAGATAACACTGGAATCCTGAGAACAAACAGAGAAGACATAGCAGAGACATGGAGATCGTATTGCAGGGACCTATATAAAGATGATCAACGCCAAGAGCTTGTTAGCCAAATCTCTGACGAGGTGGAAGAAGAACCTGATATACTCGAAAATGAAGTAAGACAGGCTATCAACAAGCTCAAATATAACAAAGCACCAGGTCCAGATATGATAACAGCAGAAATGCTTAAAGCCACAGAAGAAACCGGCGTAAAGTTACTTCATTTACTCTGTAACCAAATATGGCATTCCAAACAATGGTCTGAAGACTGGACAAAATCTACAATAACGACCATACATAAAAAAGGCAGCTTCCATAAATGCGACAATTATAAAACTATCTCTCTTATATCCCATGCCACCAAGATAATGCTACATATAATCAATGAGAGACTGAAAACATTCCTTCAAAGAGAAATTCCACAAGAGCAAACTGGATTTACCAAAGGTAGAGGCACTCGAGAACACCTGCTAAATATAAGACAGATAATCGAAAAATCTAGGGAATTCAACATCCCACTATACATATGTTTTATAGATTACCGTAAAGCGTTCGACAGGGTCAAGTGGAGACACTTATGGCGAATACTAAAAGAAGTAGGCGTACCACAACATCTAATTACGCTTATAACTGAACTATATGAACACACTACTGGATCAGTTAAAGTACTTGACACACTTTTGAACGAGTTTCATGCAGAACGGGGTGTCAGTCAAGGATGTATACTATCTCCACAATTATTCAACATATATGGGGAGTATATTACGCGAAGAGCACTTGAAGGATGGGAAAAGGGCATCTCAATAAATGGTCATAAACTAAACAATCTACGTTTCGCAAATGACACAGCCCTTCCTGCAAATAGTCAAGCAGAGCTGATGGAACTTATACGACTGATCGAAAACGAAAGTCAAATATTTGGTCTGCAATTAAACATATCAAAGACAAAGATCATGATAGTGGATAGACTACACAACAATCATCCACACATAACCACAATTGACCGGTTCTAGGTTGTGAGCTCATACTTATATCGGGATCATTAATCACAAACACAGGGTCATTACAAGAAGAGATTAAACGTAGATGTGATCTAGCAAAAGTTGCCACAGCAAAAATGACCAAAATATGGAAGGACTGTCAAATTTCAAGAGCGATAAAGATGAGGTTGATCAACTGCTTAATATTCCCAATACTGACCTACGGATGTAAATCTTGGACTCTGAGACAATCGGAGAGAAGAAAGATAGACGCCACTGAAATGTTCTGTTGGAGACGAATGTTACGAATTCCTTGGACCGACCGTAGAACAAATAATTCAATTTTAAGAGAGCTAAAAGTTAGCCAACGACTCTCTAGTAAAGTCCATCTCCAACAATTAAAATATTTTGGGCATGTTATGAGAGCAAACACACAAAACATGGAAAGACTCATAATACAAGGAAAGGTAGAAGGCCGAAGATCACGAGGAAGATTCCCAACAAGATGGAAAGCTAAATTACAGGAATATGCCAAAGACCTATGCATGAATTAAAAGAAATGACCAGAGACAGAGATCTTTGGAGACGGACAATACACGATATCACGTCGACCACTACACTCCCCCTGGGGGGTCAGGATTGAAGAGAGAGAGATCACATGATCCAAAAGAATATGAAATAGAAGATGTATTTAAATTATTAACGACGAACGCAGAAATATACAACAATAACAATGTTACGATCTAACTAGACATTAGACATAACAGAAAATATGAAAAATTTCCAATATTTGAAAACTCCAACAATAAGAATATAATTAATTAAATTGAAGACAAAAAATCTAAATAAAAAACCAACAATAGGAGAACATCAACGTGGATTCAGAAGAGGACGCAATACAGTAGGTAACATTTTCTAGCTGCTCGAAATACAAGCAGGAAGCTTCGAATATGAGAAATCTACTGTGGCTCTATTTATCTACTTCTGGATAGATACCTATATAGACTCTATAGAGTCTATAGAGAGACTATAGGATAGACTCCTACTGGAACACGATAAAGAAAGATATTGAGTCAGCAGCACAAGATAAAATAGGAACAGAAACTTGTACCCGAAAAAATTACTGGTTTGACGATGAATGCAAAGACGCAACACAGAAAAAAAAATGAAGCTTATGCAAAAATACTTACCCGAAGGACTAGAACAAGTGTAGAGAATTACCAGACAAAGAGAAGAGAAGAAAAGAAAATACACAGAATGAAGAAACGAGACCACTTAAAAAAGGAACTTCAATATATAAGAAAACCTCAACAGAGAGAAAGAATTCGGAACATTCTATAAGAAAGTTAACATCACCAGAAAAGAATTCAAGCGAACACAAATCAATGTAGAAGTTTGAATGGCGATCTATTAACAACAAGAACAGACGTACTAAATCGATGGACGGAATATTTTAACCAAATACTTAATATAGAGGAAGAAGAAAACCCGGAAGAAGAAAGGTACTGTGAGGTAAGCGGAGCAGACGAGAGGGAGGAGAACCCACCAACGATCCTGGAAGTTAAAGACGCTGTCAATAAACTAGCCAGAAACAAATCACCCGGAATAGATAATCTTCCAGCGGAATTATATAAAGAAGGTGGCCACGATATCACAATAGCGCTACAGC